CCCGTCCGCCCGCCGGCCGCGCGCGCTCACCCGCTCCGCCCGTCCGTCTGCCTGCGGATGACGCTTACACACGTGCTTGCTAACAGCACGAGGAGCCGGTAACCGGAGCCATGAGTTCGGCGCTAACGTCGCAGCGGTTCTGCCTCCGGTGGAACAACCACCAGTCGAACCTGCTGACGGTGTTCGACCAACTGCTGCACGATGAGAGCTTCGTGGACGTGACCCTGGCCGTGGAGGGCCGCTTCTTGCGGGCCCACAAAATGGTACTGTCGGCCTGCTCGCCGTACTTCCAAGCCCTGTTCGTGGGGCACCCCGACAAGCACCCCATTGTCATTCTGAAGGATGTCCCCTACTGCGACATGCGCTCGCTCCTGGACTTCATGTACCGGGGCGAGGTGAGCGTGGACCAGGAACGCCTCACCGCCTTCCTCAAGGTGGCAGAGTCCCTCCGCATCAAGGGGCTCACTGAGGTCAATGAAGATAGATGTGAAATGCCCACCATTACATCATCCCTTCTTTCCTCTGCTGTCCATTCACCCTCACCCCCAGTCCCCCCACCCCCTCCTCACCTTCACAGAATCCACACTGCTGGCCACAAGCGCCCTGCTGCTCCTGCCACCGCTGCCAATCCCCTCCTGGGCTCTGCCTTAACTGCCCCAAAGCGCAAGCGGGGGCGGCCCCGCAAACTCTCTGGGAGCAGCCCAGGGCCTGGTGCCCCTCCGAACCTGCTGCCTGCTGCGCCAGCTCCAGCTGCTGCGGCTCTCAGTGGCGGGGGCTTGGTGGACAGCCATCACGCCAGAGGACCTACTGCACTACTAGACGGCAATGACCTGGACTCGAGTCGCTTGGGAGGTGACAGCATAGTGGTACAAGGCTCACCTGAGATGCTGGAGGTGAAGATGGGTACTTTGGACTTCCAGCAGAACAGCCCCCCTCCTGCACCGACTGCCTCGTCCACCCCCTCTGCCAGTGGAGGTGGAGGATCCAGTCGGACAGACACTGAAAATGGACAGGCTTCTCCGGAGTTATCACACGGCACATCTGGCAAGGTGTGTTTCTCTCTGTTAACACTTTCTTTGTTTCTAATTATAGTCATGTATTGTAGTAAATGATAATTTTCAAATTTGCCCACTTATGTCTATTAAAAAAGTAAGATTTGCCTGTAAACAATGTACCTTTAATTTTGTCACTATTAAGAGTTAAAAGCATCAGAAGATATTAAATAATTCAAGAAATATATTATTTTTTTTCCCCTTTGTATGTTTACACTATACATCAAGCATTACTTTTCTCACAATCATTTATCCATAATTTTTTTTTTTAATTTGTTTTTTGCCAAAACCTTGAAAATTAATTCAAAGACGAATCAATACATTATTAAACTTTGATTTTACAACCTAATAACACATGCATGTAAGCGTCAAAGACTAGTCAATGATGAAGATTGTTTTTCTGCTTTAATGATCACATCACATAAAAAAAATTGTTTTCTTATGTTGATAATTATTATATATTTAAATGGAATGCTGTGTTTTAAAGAATCTGAACTTCTCTAAAAATCAAAATAACAATTTTTTCCAGGATTTGGGAACACGCAGGATTAAAGAAGAACCAGAACCTGCCCCTGGCCCTTCTTCACAGGGTGAGTAAATCCTCAATAATCCCAGGCATTACCTAAAAGGTGATGATATTTATTTTATTAATGGATTATAATCGATGACTTAAGCAAACAGTTGACAGTTTACATTAGTTTGTTTGTATATCTTCTGCCTTTGAATTTTTTGGAACATATATTACTTGTTTCCTTTAATTTGATATATTTGAATAGTTTACTTATGTTGCTTTGTAAGCTTGAGTTAAAGATCTTTTGATTTTACTTTTTCCTATGCATGAGCTTGTGATCATCAATTTGAAGTTATTTTCAATAAATTTATATTACCACATTTTAATTTTTGCATGCTTTTCTATGTTGGATCTGACAGGAATACATGATGAATTTTTACATTTTATGCAATCTTTATCTTCAAAATTTAGTTGTTTGGGTTATTTATAGTGATTTGGAAAAGCAAATTGGTTCCAAAATCACTGAAGTGCACTCTGATTATTTGCAGTAACAATTCTGAATTCTTTCGAATTTAATAAAAGGGGGAAATATAAAATAAAAATATAATGTTGAATGTTTTATCATTGTCATAAATTTCATAATATAGGGGAAAATGCGCACACACACTCATATTGGGAAGAATAGTTTTGTATTGGTTGTTATTTGGAAGAATGTTTTCACTCTTCTGGGAATTTTGCATTTTATCAGGCTTTATTTTATTCTCTCTTTAAGGGAAAATTTTTGCATTCAAACAGAAAACTGATTTGTAAATCCTTCATTGTAAAATCCAGTTAACTCGGGCTTTATGTTAAAATTTGTCACAATTTCAGAAAACAATTTATAATCTTGAGAGGTGGATTTAAAAAAAAAATGTATTCCTTTTATTTAATATTTTAATGGTATTTAAATTTTTTGCAAAATTATTTTACTTTTAGAATTTATTGCCTGCATAGATACTTTGCAAATAGAAAATTATGTAGAAATTGAAAAGGTACTTTTACCAGAATTGTTTATTCTCTCAAATGTCATGATTAGATTTACTACTAAATGTAGCATTTTGAGTATATTTTAATGAGAGATCTTAGCATTTTTTCTTTTGTTGTATTTTAGCCCTTTCTACGTGACCCTAGAGAGAAAAATGTAATTTTGATTGAGATTTGTAAAGTTTGCATTCCTCTTCAGCTGCTTATTTAGCTTTTTAAGAAAATGTTTATTAATATAACTTTGAAGTATTCACTTCCTCTTCAGAGATGGCTGCAATTTATTAAAAAAAATTATTATTATTATTATTATTATTTTCCATTGCTGAGATCAGATTTTAATACACCAGCTTCTCTGTGCATTAAAAAAAGGGTCTTAATTTCTTCAGATTATAGAACACATCAAAGGGGGCTACCATACTTGTTGGCCTTCAGTGAATCCTATAATAAGAAATAATTTATTTTTATGTATCAAATTGATAATGTATATTGGGATTGAATTTATTAGGTTTTTTTTACTCTCCTCTTCTGGAAGTTTTGTATTGGTGAATAAATTGTAGAAGTATACAAAATACTTTTTGTTCTTTGATGAACTAAAGAATTAAAATTGTTTTACCATTGTTGCTTACCCACTTTCAATGGAGTCTTAGCACTTGATCAATGTATGCTTGTTAGGCATTCTTTGTAACTGTTGCCACCTGTTGCTGTTAATAAATTCCTGGAACTTCTTTTGCAAACTTCAGCGAAGAAAATGGTATTTAAATTGAGTAAATATTTTTCCTCAAGATCTGTTTTATAATTGTGTTACTGACATTAAATATGTTGAAAACTTTACATTTATATCAATTTCAAAATTTGGTAGAATGCTAAAATCAAAATGTGTGCCTCATTTGTGACCGAAGTGCATTGTAAAATGTTGTGTTCTATTTTGAAAATAAAAATACAGATTCTGAATTAATTTCAAAGATTAGTCTGGAGATTTTTTTATTTTTGAAGAGGCTTTGTGAAGATTCTGTGCATTTCTATCTTTAACCTTATGACTGATACCTCAAATCACAGGCCTGAACTGTTCTTGTTCTTCTACGAAAATATTGAAATTGAAATAAGTACATTTTTGAACGATTAATTTGCTGTAAATTTAGGTTGTGGCTTAGTAGTTAAAAAGATTTTTTGTTTCTTTAGCTTGTGTGGATTTCATGAAACTAATGTTAAATGTCGCGCCATGTTGCAGATCCTGGGCAGGCATTCATGCGATCCGGTACTGACCAAGAACAGCAAGCCTTCGCACTAGGTGAGTGGCAGTGCTCAATGACAGTGACGCAGAGCTCTAGTGTGCACTTTGCACTAGTGTGGCAAGGTTGCAGCGTAAGCACGCTCCGTGTGTCTGGCACCGCGCACGTTTTGTGTGTGGCACTAGTAACCGGTGTCTTCGGAGATTGGATAAATTCCGTTCGTAAACTGGCGTTTTAATCACTAACCCAGCTTGGCTCCCGCGCTGGGTGGAACTAGCAATGCTTCTCCTGGGACCGTAATGGCTTTCCTTTTTGGGTAGAATCGTGCTTCTGTTTTGTGTGTGTTTTCTACCAGCATATTGGGTGTTTCCTCTCTTTCTTCTTGGGGTTCTTTGCGATTCAAAGGACTTGTTTATTGGTTTGTATTGTACATCTGTTCTGTTTCATTGTGACATTGAATGTGTGATGAATTTACTCTAGAACGACGCTTCTTTATGGGGCATTTGAATATGCTAAAGTGAAACCTCTGCTTAAAAATAAGACGCGATCTCTTCTTCACTATCGGTCTTAGTGCTGGTCGAGATGTCATTGAATTTTGCATTTGAGGAGGTCCAGTTTTATTATTCCTTTGAATTTTCATACTTCAAGTCATGTTTTTCTCTCCTCTTTTAAAATTCTATTTTTATTGGAAGATTTCAGTTCTAAAGAAAGCTTGGGAAGCAGTAATGTTCAAGCCTTGCTTCTTGTGAGAGCATCGTAGATCTTGCTCTCCGTGTTTTGTTGAGAACGTGCAGGAAAATGAAGATTTTTGCAACAATACAGAAGAAGTTATTTGCGAATTCGAAATCTTTGAGGAGGTAAGTTTTTCTCCAATGTGCGTGAAAAAGATACTGTTTTATAATATTTTTGGAAACTTTTTTTTTTTTATTGGCTCTAAATATTTGCATGTCCGGTGCATACATTTTTGTGAGATACTGTGAATTTTTTAAAAGCTTGATTTTTGAGAGTAAAACTTCTGCTGTTGTTTTTCTGTGTGGGCATGTGCTTTGCACTGGGCAGAAAGAGCAGGAGGAAAGGAATTGTTTTCACATGTTGTGGGATGTTAGCTTCATCACTTGAGGCCGCGTAGAAAACAATTTAAGCAGAGGTTTTACTCTTGCACTAGAATAGGCTGAACTTTCGTCTTGCTGCAGCCTGACGTATCTTGTCTTGCAGCTTGCACTCCAGAAGAGGAGGCAGCCCCTGGAGCTGCCGCCGTTGACCGTGACGACTGTTCCTCACTGCCGGAAGATGAGAATGAACTCATCACTTTGTCTCCTACTTCAGATGCTGATCTTGATGTGGAAGAGGGAATCGCGATGGAAAGGGGAGAAGGGGTGTCGGAGTTGGCTCTGACTCAAGTGGAAAATCTGGAGAAGGAAGTTGGCTTGGCCGAAAACGGCAATTCTAGTTCTGCAGAAATGTCTGCTGATAAATCCTCTGAAGGTTACAATCTTAAAGTGAAGTCAGAGCGCATGGATGAAGGTAGTGGGAATGGAAAGAAGGGCCAGGATGTGGGAGATGGAGAGGCGAGGGATGGAGGAGAGAACGTGGATGGAGGGGAAATGGGAGACATGGGAGACGATGGAGAGGATAATGCATCTCAGATGAGTTCCACTCGAAGCTTCTGCATGCGGGAAGCAGATAACCTGTTCCGCTGCAAGGTTTGCCAGAAGACGTACACTCATATTTCAAATTTCTGCCGGCACTACCTGACCACCCACAAGCAGCGAAGGCAAGTGTTTGGGTGTCCTGCCTGTGGAAAGGAGTTCACTCGCCGGGATAACATGATGACCCATTTGAAAGGTGTCCACAGACACATTCTGATGCCTTTCTAGCATTGGTATTTTGTGTGCTGTCTATTTTCCCATGTGGCAAACATCCACTCAATTGGGAATTGTGCCTCAATGAAGCAGGGTTTTTATAAAAGTTGTTTTTGTTTTTACAAAGGGGTTCTTCCGTATGAATATGAAAGGAAGATTTGGTACCATTGACTAGATAAATGAAAAGTCTGGTTTGTTATAAAGATATCTGATATTTTAATGATTGTTATTAGTAAAATGTGATAAATATATATATACATATATTATATATAAGATGATTCAGATGAAAGAAATAACTATTGGATCTATATAAAGGAAAACAAATTCCCTCCTTTTGATACTCGTTATTTACGTATTTGGCACAATTTGTACTTACATATTAAAAAACTAGAACAACTTTTAAATGATGCCAGAAGGTCACTTGTTTTTTTTAGTTTTGTTTTAACAAATGAGATGTGCCATGCAGCTTTTTAGTTTATTTGGGGAGACTACTTAATTTGTGTTGCAAATACTCATAAGTGTTGAGTTGTAATTTGTTTTGAATTTAATGGACGGCGCTGGAGGTTTTTTGTTGCTTGAAACGAAATCTTGCCAGAATGTGGGATCTCCCTGCTCTTTCCCCTCGCGTTCCTAGTAGCAGCATCCATGACTGCAACTTCTGCTTGCCAAATTGTAGGGGAGTGTCTCCGAGGTCCTGACACTAAGGCACTATAGTTAGGTTGTGTGAGATGTTTGCTAAACTGCTTAACACGGGTTATTATTTCTAGGACTGAAAAATCAATGAAATCTTATTAATGTGTATTTCTACAGTCTGTAGTACGTATAATCACAATTGATTCTTCTATAAACTTAATGATCTGAGATCCAACAGGTATTTGTTTTTACTGGTCTTTTCTGATTGGAGACGAGAGTCATGTAAGATTATGCAGCACAAAATTCAAATTTTGTATTGATCTCATAATTTCAATCTGCATTACAAAAAGGAGATGTTCTCTTTTTGGTTCCTACTCTGTGGATCTGTGATAGAAAATTTGAATGTAGTGTGAATTTGTTTGAAGTCATCAAAGATTGTTTGGTTTCTGAAATCCGATAATGAGATTTCATTGTGCTATAATTTGAAAGAAGCCAAGCTTTTACAGACTAGAAATGCACATTGCAGTGCATTTTAGGCTACTTTAGCTAGCGGGGCAGCAGGGTGTGTATAGCTTTAAGTGCATTTAGTGCTGATGAGTCATGGTTACGAAAACCGGGTACTCTCAAGCTAGTAAGCATTTGATACAAAATTCCATTAGCTAATAAGCATGTGGTTTCATGTGTAACAGAATTTTGGGTTGTTGATTATGCAGCTAGATATTTGTATTGCAGAGATATATTGTATTTTTTGTTAGATTATTTGATTTTGTTGTATGTCATAACATAGAACTGATGGTTCGATTTTTGAGTCAACTGGTTCAGAGCCTTAAGGTCTCAGTGCCAAATGGTTGCAGTTGCAGAACTGTGTACTGTGCCAATAGAATGAGACTGAAAGCCTTAATATGGCTGACAGGAAGTAGTAAGGTGTGTGTAAAGGATTTTTTTTTTTTTTTTGAAATTCCTACCCTCATATGCTAGCACTGGTTCAACTGTTGGCAGGGCAGTAACATTCCCAGGGACTGTGTTCTCCTGTGCTTAGACCTTACTACTTACTGGAGCTATGCGAGGCTGTCTTCCTTAATGCCATGTGGGCATTGTTATTGAAAAGAATCATGAGATGGACTAATAAACGTTTTCTTGACTTCCCCTGGTGTTGTATTGTCCTTCCTGTCTGTCCTAGCGTGTGGGCAAGTACCTCTTCTCTCTCTTCACTTTCCTGGGTGTTTACCAGCAGATGGAAGAGTGTGGTCGGCTTTCTGTCTGCTGCCAAGTAGTGATCGATCACTAACATCTCCACCCCAAGATGTCTTAACCAGCTTTAACCTGTTTGAAACACACGGTCGTGCATAAAGAACAGGATTGGAAACGAAAGAGGATGTTTTAGAAAACCGAATAGAACAAAAAATAGTCAAACTGTGATCAGAGAAGAGTGAAAGACGAGGAGCCTGGCGAGAAGGTAATAGAACACTCCTTTCTGTTGATAGTATCTGTATTCAGTTTCTATTTTTTTTCGATATACCCCTCAACTACTTGGTTGCTACCGCAGATATCAGAGTAGCTCGGCTTCTGTTTCACTTTAGTTCGGATTCCGGGCGCAGGCGGTCTGGCGAAAGGGCCGATGGCCTGGGTTCGTTTCCCGATGCGTCCCCTGTGACGCCCGCCCGCCTGGCCCGGATCTTATTTATTGTCAACGCAGGCCCATTGTTTGTAGCTTGTTGTCTTAGATACGCAGGGCACGGGTCGGCTTCGGCCGTGGCATTACGTTTTTTATTTTTTCTATGTCCCAATCCTTTTTCTGAATGTGAATGCCTACTCCTGTTTTTATCTGATATATACTTTTTCAGTAAGCAAAGAACTATGTCGATGTGGTAGAAGATATTACGTGTGGGCCACGGGCTGCGAACCGTATTTCCAGCAGTGGACGAGAACGAATGGTCAAGTGTGATGAATGGGGTGATCGAGATAACATTATCGCGAAATTGGAGATTCGATTGATCCCGCACCGAACCTATTTGCGTTCAGTTAGCCTCCCCGGTGATCATATCTTTTCACAATTGATTTATCGAAAGCCTTCCAGCTCTTGTGAGAGTACGTCCAGAGATGATCCGTGATGTTTGTACCCATTGCGGTGCCAATCTTCCAAACGCCGTAAAATGATTCGGGGAGCCCTGCAAATGCGCTCATCGGAACAGAAGTTGCTACTCCCGTCAGTAGACAGTAAATTTCGTGTGCGGGTGCGCGTTTGCATTTCGTTTGCGAGGTAGTCGTCCTTTAGCTAGCTGCCTGGACGTTCCTTCGCGGCTCGTGGTTTGCATTTGGAACTCATTTTTTATATCTTCAGAGACCCAATAATAAATGGCTTGCTTCATGACTGTGATGTAGTTCATTCATTTTGTTTGTCCCCCGTGGCGGGGAGGGGGCGGTTGGGGGCCCGGGAGGTGAATCGGTGTGCACGCCCTCGCCCCCGACCCGACCCCACGCCCGCTGCCCGCCCACCTGCTAGGGATGCGACATCCCGGGGCAAAATTAACTCGTCGAGTATCATTAATGTTGTCACCGGGGGTTATTTATTTAATCTTACAGTTATCGTGTTTATTAATTTGTAATTAAGATTTACAAAACAAACTTTACAAAATTAATGAAAACTCGACTTATAGTATACTTTCATTCATTGGTTTCTTTGGTGTGAAGATGTTTTGTTTTCAGAAATGAGAAGATTGTCTCCTTTTATTATAGTTTTTTTTTCTAATACAAAACATTTATCTACAACGTATAATCTTTAGAGATTTAGAATTGATGTTAAAAATCTCGATCGATTGTTTAAAAAAGTGGATATGTCTACGAGAAAGTGGATGTCGCACCCCTACCGCCCGCGCGCACCTCCCCGCCTGCATGCCCGCCTGCCCTGAGCCCTTGCATGCGCCAGGAGCTTTGGATGTGCGTCGTGGGTGCCTGCAAGGCCGGAGGCGGAACTAGCGCTGTAGCGGACGGCGAAGAAGGCATTTTTCTTTTCTTTTTTTAATGCGCGCGGCAGAGGTTCCCCGAGAACCTGAGGGGCAGGGCGGTTTCGGTGGAGAGGGAAATGAAGGCGACGGTCTTTAGTTGATCAACGAAAGTGTGTTTCGGTGGGATAACTTAAACTGTTTTTTAGTCAAATTGAACATGGCGAAACACTTGTTTCACCATGTGAACATCAAAACTCTTTAGTACTGCCAAGATATGTAGTTCGCAAATTCGCTGTTTCTTCTCATCGTTCCTCTTAGTTGATTCCAGTTGATGTGTACTGTTATCGTTTTCACCTGTGTGCAATTAGTTTCCTTGTTTCAATGCTTTTAATACCCAGGCCATTGAACGCCAAATGTAAGACAGAAACGGCGTGAATCTCGCGTCACAAGTGATTCGTTCGTTCTCATACTGCCTGTTAGGAAGTGAGGAGCGGAGGTTCGCGAGTGGCGATTAAGATAAGGAAACGCAGACTGATACGGCAGGGTTTGATAGTGGCTTTTTGTCCACTTTTCCGATGATACTTGAAGCGGCTGCCGAGAGGTGATTCTTAAGTCTAAATACAATAAAGAACCCTCCTGTCATTGGGCGTCTCTCGCGGGTCCTGTTTGCGCCAATAATTCCACGTCCTGTTGCTGGACGTGAGCCCCCTGTGTCGCAAGGGAGGAAACCTCGAAGATAAGGGCCCCGTTGTAAAGAGCGTGAGGGTTCGCTGTCGAAAGTCCTTTCGCAACCCTCTGTCAACTTCCCCCGTTCGTTCTCTTCCCCGGCGCGCGGAGCCTTCTCGCTAAGCCGCGCTGCGCCGCGCCGTTGCTTGTCGTCACCCCGGTTCGGGGAAGCCCCGGCGTGAGGAGGGCGGGGCCGGGCCGGGCCCGGCCCGGCCCGCTGTTATGCACTTGAGCTGCTCTCGCTATAGTGCGGGTTCTCTAACCGCGCCCCTGGCAGGTATCAGCAATTGGGAGCTTGAATATCACCATAGTGACGTCACTATGGTGTTCAAGCTCCCGATTGGATGAAACAGTCAACAGCCAGGGGCACGGTTAGAAAAAACGCCCTGTAGTGATGGGACATTTTAGAAAAACATCAATCCTTCGATACATCAACAAAAGATTTTCGATGTCGATGAATATATCAACAAAAACATAGATTTAAATATAGATGTTGTAAATACGAAACATATCGAAGTATAATGCTCTGGTTTTAATGTGGTACAAACACGTCGATAATGTATTTAATGTATATTTTCCTTAAATTTGACTGTCATCTTAATTTTCTTATCAATCATCTTTGTAGTTAAGGTTCAAAATGCATTTTAACGATATTATCACGTAAAAATTAATAAGAAATCCAATAACACTGTAGAATGATTACGAATAGCTAAGGTTTCGTGCCGTTTGGGGATCAACAGCAGTGACGGTTTGCAAATGACTATTCATTGCGAGCAATCCTAAAAAAACAAAAAGTTATATTTATATCGTGAGAAATTGTTTCATTGAAGTTTCTGAATCAATATATATATATATATATATAT